GCGAGCTGCTTAAATCTATTGCTTAGATCTCTGATTAATGTTAAATAGAGGTGGGCTTGTTCTGTCTGTGGTATTGAGTTGCTGTTAGTATTGGATAAGTGGGTTTTGAGGGAGAAGTGATGAATTGACTCCAAGTTTAATTACTGTTTTTCTTTCCTTTTGTATACTTTTAGAAAATTCTAGCAAAATAGGGTTAGCTAATAAAGATAGAAAAAATCGACCCATGCAGCAGGAAGACGAATATCGAATTCAGATGGAATTAAACCGGTATTATTTGAGAAAAGATTCCCTTACTGTGGGTGTATCTTCAGAGCAAAGCTTTTATGAGACAGAAACGGCTCGTACACCTTCTAGCCGTGGTAAGCAACTCAAAAAGTTAACACCAGAATCATGTGTTATCATCATAAAATAAACTAAAACTTTGGCTGCTATGAAATAGAATTTAGTAATGAAGGAACAAAAGATCTATGCTGTAAGAAATTCTTAAATTCATAAGTCGACCTCACTATATAGTATTACAGCCCTGTGCTGGCATGTGTGTGCTAAGAAACTTCCTTTGATTGTGTAGTTTTGTTTTGTAAATCATGATTTATTTTAAAGGAAGTTAATTTACAAAAATGTAGATTTATACAAAAGATAAATTGCAGGTAATTATTCACATTTTGTCAAATTCTTATGTGCATCCATAACGATTTACAGTCGATTCTTTTAAATAGGAACCTTTCTCTATTAATCTATCAGTTATATATAAAAGTAATCTTTACCCAGTTTACTTGGCATTTACAGGTGTTTCATAATGTATAAGTACTAATACCATAAATGATAATCATTAAGCATGGAATATCAAACTACATAAAAAATATAAAGTGTACTAAGAAATTTAGGCCATAACAGACCTCATTTGCATAAGGGTAAAACAGTCTCCAGAAAGAATAAGTGAAATGTAAATAGAATTCTAAATAACATATTCAGCTTTAAGAAAAAGTAGCTTTATTCATATGAAACCAGAGACTGAAAGATACTTATAAACTTTTAAAGTCTGAATTTTAACTCCTAAATTGTCATATGACATTTAAAAATATACCATGTAATACTGCACATCATATATTGAAAAAAATTTCACCAGTAGGATAGTGTAACCTTGTATTAACCTACATTCAGGTGAGCTTTTGTTAATGCTGTTTATAACTTGGACCCAAATCAGTGACCTTGTTGGAAGTAATATAAATTTTAGGGCATCACTGTATTTCAGATAATCTGAAGGAAGGAAGTTATATTAATGTAAATTACCTTACTTTAAAAACCTGAATTGCTGGAGTTATAATACTACTGACAAAGCTTAATTCTCTCCAGAAGAAGAAGTTTTCTTCTCCATGGCTGATATGGACATGTCCCATAGTGTCTCTTCTCTCCCACCCCTTGGTGACCCTCCGCACATGGACCTTGAGTTGTCTTTAACTAGTACATACACCCCAGCAGGATCTCCGTTAAGTACGACTGTGGTAAAGTATTATCTTTGTTCTGTTCTTGAAAAGTTGCTTTTAAAATCCATGACTTTATTCATGCACTTCAAAAAAATTCCTTTATAGCTCCAGCCAGCATGGGGAGATTTCCTTGATCAGCATAAAGAACAGCCAGTGAGAGGGTCAGCATTGCCTTCCAGCCTAGTTCACCCGGCACCTTTACAAAAGACTGGTGAGCAGTGTAAGACAGTTGTTGATAGTTTCCACTGGAATTTAAACAAATTGTAAAAATAAGAAAAATTTCTTTTTAAAAAATAC